TTCACCTTCAAATCTTGCAGATTTTTCATCTCAAATCCCCTAGGCTTATAAAGTGGCTCATCTCAACTATTCAAGTTGACAAAGGGTATCAAAATTGTTGGAAGGTTCACAGTGTCCCTTGGGTTTCCATGCATGAAAGAATTTACATGTAGGTAGAAAATTACCAAAGAAAAAGGTCCCCCCACTTGGTGAGTGTGGTGGGGGCAAAGATGTAGCCATTCTAGGGAGATGTCAAGGTAGAGCCTGCACAGGTAGGGTTGCCAAGCCCGACACACAGCTTCTGCAAGGAGATGGAGATCTGGAGAACCATGGAACAATTCAGAACAGAGAACTGTCTTGTTGTCAGGATATTCAAAGGCCCTGTCAATATCCATGGCTGGACTGTGATGGTTGGACTTGAGAATTCCCTGGAAAAGCCACAAGGCTTCCCAGCTATGCTCAGCTCCAACACTAGTTTCAAGCCTGTGCAGGAAACAGGAATTTTAAAGGTGAGGCCCTGGAAGCCATGGGCACCAGGAAGTGTGTTACAGACTGATACTTTGGCAGAAAGTATGTGCACGTGAGTCAGGCCACCCTTCAGGCATTAAGTACCCCTCTTAATGTTCTTGGGGGTTCTGGTACCAAGTAGCCAGTGCTGGCCCTCTGCAGGAATAACTATTCTTTTCTGTAAGTTCTGGTCAGTCAGCTTCCTGGCCCTCTCTCACCTACTCAGAACTCCTCTGGGGCTCCTGACCAGCTCCAGAACCAAGTCAATTAGCCTCTGGCCTGTAGTCCCATCTGCTAAGGTTAGAATTCTTCTCTGGGCACCATAGATCACTATCCTCTGCCAGAGGTCAAGGCACCTGGGACAGGCAAGAATGTGGGCAAGCAGGGATGATAGACAGGGCTGTGTACCCTATTATTGCCTGAGCCTCAGTCCATCACCTCTACCTAATGCCCCATGGCTGAGAAGAAGTTCATGAAGCAGATCCTTCTGGAAGCTTTAAGGGCAAAGTCAGCCCTTCAGAGACTACACGAGGGTGGAATGTAACCCCCAGTTAGGGCCTGCTCTGGAAGCCATGGGCACCAGGAAGTGTGTTACAGACTGATACTTTGGCAGAAAAATAAGGAGCCTGCTCCTAGTAGGCAGTCTACAATTGTCAGTTCCAGCCCTGTGTCAGTTAGTTTTTGTCAACTTGACACAAACCTGGACACAGCTGAGAAGGCAGAATCTCATGGAAGAACTGCTTCTTTGATCAGATCGACCTATAGGCAAGTCTGTAGGAGCATTTTCTTGATTAATGATTGATGTGGGAGGCCCCAGCTCCCTCGGGGCTGTGACACCCTGAACAGGTGAGGTGGTCCTGGGTTCTATAAGAAAGCAAGCTGAGCAAGTCATGAGGAGAAAATCAGGAAGCAGTGTTCCTCCATGGCTTCTGCTTCAGTCTTTGCCTCCAAGTTCCTGCCCTGTTTGAGTTCCTACCCTGACTTCCCTCCAATGATGGACTATAATTGAGAGTTACAAGCCCCCACCCCAGTTGTTTTGGGTCATGTTGTTTTATCACAGCACCAGAAACCCTAACAAGTCATAGCCTCACTATCTTCCCTTCAGGCTAACCTTGGCCAATAAGGCCTGCCCAGCACCAGCTCATGGCCCGCCTAGCACACAGAGAGCTAGGCAGCATGGGGCCCACACAAAGAATCACTTCACCACCAACTTTAGCAAGAGGAATGTGGCAGAGAGAGAGAGAGAGAGAGAGAGAGAGAGAGAGAGAGAGAGCTGTGTTTTCTTGTTAATCCGCTAAACTATGAGCACGTGTCCTGAAGTGGAAATGGATGAACCATCTTCCAAGTAAATAACAATTCCATATTGACTGACACAGGATGAGGTCAGAGTTGGTGGTAGGATCAACATGCCCATGCGCTTCTGCCTAATGAGCCTAGCCTCTGTGTGTGTGTGTGTGTGTGTGTGTGTGTGTGTGTGTGTGTGTTACAGAAAGGATGAGTCAGAGGCAGGCTCTCAGCCACAGAACCCTCTAGAAAGTATGTGAGCGGCATGCTAACACACAAGTTCTACCACCCGGCCTCTGGCTGCTGTCCTCATTGTTCTCTTCTCACATCCTCTCTCTCCACAACAGGAAGTGCTCCAGGCCAGAACTGCTCTCGGCTGCCTGGGCTGCCTAATTGGTCTCCAGGTGCCTCTGCACAACCCGCTGACTGGTCACCATGAATTTGACAGATACACGGGTTTAGCAGATGGAAAGTGAAAGCAAGAGAATATGGTTCCTTGACCATCAGAACAGTCGCTCCTTTAAAAAAAAAGAAAAGAAAAGAACCCAAAAGCAGAAAGGATATTAAGGATACTGTTTGTACAGCCACTCTATAGATTCTACAAATGCAAATATCCTACGGTATTGGCACAGGGTGAGAGCCACAACACTACCAGGCTCCCCACAGTGAGATTCAAGCAACAAGAATTCCCAGTCTATTTCAGGACACAGCAGCTGTTGGACCTCCATTGCTTTTTCACCTATAGTCTCTGCCATTCACCATTCTCCCCATCCTGTTCTCCTGAGGAGCCATCCCAGAATGGCTATGAATGACCAATCCAAAAGCCTACCTGGTAACACAGTATGCTCATATAATGTGGCTGGAAGCCTCCCCTTGAAAACACAGCATGTGGACTGACCTCAGTTCTCTACACACACAGTCTATCCCAAGGGCACAACGTCCTTCCAAACTTTCCATCTACACAGGGGTTGGGTCCCCTCATTCACAGTCAGTGCTCTGTGAATCCTCAACAGAGTGACCTGGCTCAGTCACCAAAGTTCTTATACCAGCAATTGAGAGGATGCAAATGTCAATCTAACTCCTGAGACAGGGGTGAAGGGCTTCTCTTGGTCTCCAAGGGAAATGGGCTTAGCCAGGCTGCAGAGCCAGAGAAACCATGCAACTACCCTACATGTCACTCTACACTCTCAGAAATGCCACAAGAAGGTAGTTACCTGTGCAATGTGGATACCCTCTCGCCTCTTTCCTCCACCCACCAATGACTTTACAATAAGTGGTTTCATGTAAAGTTAAGCTATGTTCACAACAGTCAGAGGTTAACAACATACAAGCAAGCCCATAAGAGCCAAGAAGGAAGAATGAAAAGAAACAACTTGCATTTACATATCTGTCCCCACCAGCCCTCCCAGGACAACCATGAGAGGTGACTGACAAACAGTGTGGACAGCAGAGCCCCCAAAAGAGTAACATTCCAATTAGTACAAAGAAACGAAAGCCTGTTTCCCAGAGTCCCAATTAAATCCCAACCAACAATGCTTGCTCCCATCCCTGCCACTCTGCTCAGGAAATAATGAGAAAAATGAGAGGGCCCCCGCCAGCAACTTCCGTGTGGCAGCCCTTTGAAGCCAGAGAAATGTACCCCAGCATGGTTTGCAAGCATGCCCAGTAGCTGCTGCACCTGTGCCTTTAAGACAGCCTGGTGTCTTGGTCCCCACTCAGACCCTGAAGAATGCCAAAGAGGGTGCCCTCACCCCACCCCCAACCTGTGGGATACAGAGGAGCTCTGTGGGACCAGACCCGGCTGGTCTTAAAACTGTCGGCGTTGATTCATCACTGGATCTGGTGCGCTCTCCCCTCTGTTTCCACGCCATCCATCATGGGTCCCAGAACCAAGAAATCCAATAAAGACACAAAGGCACAGCTCTGTGTTCCCAGCAGGCCCCAGAAAGGCTGTGCGAAGGCCCCAGCCCAGGCAATTAGCTGAATCCATGGGATCGCGTGCTGATGGGCTTTCAAAATCCCTTGCCAGGCATTTCACAGGCAGGTGTTTGGGGAAGGAGGGTAGGAAATAGACAAGGGCTGTCTGGGTGCTCCAGCAGCACCAGGGGACAACCTGGTGCTTTAAGGAGACCCGTGATGGAGGAGCTAATTTCACTCCCAAACTACAAAGGAGAGGGGGCAACCCTTGAGTTAAGTTACAATGAAGATGATCATTTCCAGGCCTTTTTAAACAATCCAAACTTCTGAAGGTCATAAGCAAGATTTAATAACGGAACAACGCACCTCTCTTCCAGGCCCTGAATCACCCTATATTCAACTCCAATAATGTAGACAAGAGATATAGGGCTTCTAGACCCTTCCATTCACTCTGGGACCAAATGAAGCCAGTTCAGCATATTTATTACCACATATTGAACAAAGGCAATGTAGGGTTCAGAGATCTCCTGTGAGCATGTAATACCTTAAGCCTCCAATCTAAACCTCCAATCTGCAGTTTGCATCAGTCTGCCCTACTCAGAAGCAAAGGTAACTCTCCATACACAGAACGTTCCCATTCCTGTCCCAGTAGCTTCATCTCCTTCCAGGGCCTGGCACTGAGCCCCTGGAGAAAGACAGTCAAGCCAGAGGGCTTTGAGTTAATGAGCTACATGGCTTCAGGACCAAGTTCAATGCTGTGGGAGCTGGACTGAAATGAAGTAAAATATTTTCCAAATTCAGTCACTTCTCAATTACCCTTGAGTGAACTGTCCATGACAACCCAAATACTCCATGCCCCCCAGAGTTTGAGACTGAAGAAAGATGCATAGTGTGTGTGTGTGTGTCTGTGTGTGTATGTGTGTGTGTCTGTGTGTCTGTGTGTCTGTGTGTCTCTCTCTGTGTGT